CAAATTTGTTTATTTTCCTTTTTATTTTCATTTTTATTTTTCTTAAATATATTTTCTAAATACTAAAAAAATCATAAAATACAAAAATTTCCACAAAAAATATTTTTATTTATTATACTTTATTTATTTTATTAAGTAAACTTTATAAACTTAATTAATATTATCTTTTTTTTTCTCGCACATTTTAAAATACATCATTTTAATATAAAAAAAAAGACTAAAAATATTTTATAATGTTATAAATATTTTCAAGATAAAAAACACCAAAAATACTTTTATTAAAATTATTTTCTTCTGATTAATTAATAGAACTAGGTTTTCATTTAAAATATTTTCTTAATAAATTCATATTTAATTAACTATTTTCTTTATTTAATTAGGTTAAAATAAAATCTTTTTTTTTCATGAAAACCAAACAAAATTTATTTCTTTACACTTTTGCATCCTTGTACAGTTATTCATTTTTATGCTTTGTATTTATTTAATTCCTTGTATATTTATGCCAATTCAATATGGTTGTAATAGATTAATTAGGATTTAAATTCTTGCAATCCCCATTCAACTTGTACACCCCCACCCCCACCCCCCCCACAAATGTTATAATAGTGTAGTAACTTTAAATTTTGCAATTTATCACTTTTATATAACTTGTTAGTAATTAGGGTTTGTATGGAAAGACTAAAACCAATGATTAGAAAACCCTAATTCAAGACAAAAACAAGCATGAAAATGATACACTTGCACACAAGCACCTCTAGGGTTATTCCACTTGGTTGCCTTATACAAAATGGCCATATTACGCATGTGAGGTATCTTAGCAAAAGCAAGCAAATACAAGATCATGGTCCCTCGATGACGCTACCTAAGTTGCCTTACAAATGATCTTAGTCCCTAAAAAAGTATTCTAAGATACTTTGCAACATTGCTAATCATGGTTATACGATGACCCACGCCCGTCCCGTTTACATCCAAAGATAGGGTTGCTTACCAAATCAATGGTACGACAACAATGTCAAAGGAAAAGAAAATGAACAAGAAAGACATTTGAGTAGGTAGGTTGCTCCTAATTACTTGCTCCATTTCAAAACAAACATCCTTTCTATTTTCAAAACAAATACATACACTTTCAAACATCTTACAAAATTGAAAACATTTTCAAAAGATCAAACATCTTTGTATACATTCTTACAAACAAGAATCATTACAAAGATTGCCTAAACAATAGCCTCTTTACAAAATACTTTCAAAAACCACATCACGCACAATTTCAAACAAAAAGCAAGTGATCTAGCAAGTAACTAAGAGCCCATGTAAAACCATGGATGAAAAGGGTGCTAATACCTTCCCTTTTCATAATCTACCCCCCGAACTAAAGAAACAATCTCAAAGGTCTTTCCTGTGCTTTTTCACCTTTCCTTTTGGATAAAAGAAAAGTCGGTGGCGACTCTTGCTAACCACAACATTTGCGATAAAATGCAAAACCCTCAAGTCAGTTCTCCCACTTTATCACAATAGGGAAAAAGGAGATGAGTGTGAATCTTCTCGTAGTGTTAACACGATCTGAGACAACCCATAGCCAATCGAAAAGAGGAACCACCCAATGATGTTGGGTAAACCTCTAAACTACAAGGAATTGAATCAGAGCTCCTCCTTGATGGAAAGAGATGATCAAACATAAGAATAATATGATTTGAACATTAAATACAAATCTGAAATACGCAGACTGCACTAAGCGGGCCTGGAGCGTTAAGTGCGACTTCCTAAATTAGCACATTAAATTGCCTAAAACCGCACTAAGCGTGTTATTCGCGCTAAGCGGGCTCCAAAACTTTGCTTCTGCCAAATCTCGTCAAAACATTCATAGCGCGTGTAATACGGTAGGAGAACTGACTTGGATGTTTTGCGTTTTATCGTAATTGTTGCGGATAGCGAGAGTCGCCACCGACTTTTCTTTTATCCAATAAAAGAAATGGTGAAAAGAACAGGAAAGACCTTTTGGGAATTTTATTGAGTTCGGGGGGTAGGTTATGAAAAGGGAAGGTGTTAGCACCCTTTTCATCTGTAGTTATCTACGGGCTCTTAGTTGCTAGCTCACTTTGAAATGTTTTGTTTGAAATGTGTTTGTGATGTTTTTGAAAGTATTTTTGAAAGTGCTTTTGTTTAGGAGAACTTTGTAATGATTCTCGTTTCTATAAGAATTCATACAAAGTGTTGTCTTTTGAAAATATTTCATTTGAAAGTGTTTTTGAAAGTTCCTTTGCTTTTGCAAACTTTGTAATGATTCTCGTCTCTATAAGAATGCATACAAAGTGTTGACTTTTGAAAATATTTCATTTAAAAGTGTAGGTGTGTTTTGAGAGATGTTTTGAAAATGGTTGTGAGCAAGCAACTACAAACTTTCTAACTACTCAAAAAGTCTTTGTTCATTTACTCCTCCTTTAGATATTGTTATCTTACCATTGATTGATAAGAAGCCCTATCATTGGATGTGAAGGGACGGGTGTGGGTCGTCGTGTAGTCATAGAAGGCAACATTGTAGGATACCTTAGAAATTTTTGTAAGGGTCTAATATCATTTACCGAAGGCACCATCTAAGGTTCATCGAGGGACTACAATCTTGTATTCGAGGGTATTTGCTAAAGTATCCTACGTTCGAGGGACATGACTATTTTTCTCAAGGCGACAAGTGAGGTTAACCCTAGAGGTGCACGTGTGCAAAAATGTTTGTTTTTCATGAATTTTGTCTTGAGATTAGGGTTCTCTATTGTTTGATTTTTATTCTTTTCATACACACCCTAATTACTAGCATTTACATTCGAAAGCGATAGATTACGGAGTTTTAAAGTCCTACGCTATTACATCATTTTGGGGATGGGGATATAAATCTACAAATGGGGAATGAAAGCAAATAAATCCTAATTTGCTATTATAACCATATTGAATGAATAAATAATGTACAAGAATGTAAAGATAAATAAAAAAGAAATTTGTTTTTTTTTTTAAAAACTTTTATGTATTGACACATTTACTTATGTATTGTTACGAAATTTTTTATGTACATGCACTTATGTATTGATACGAAAAATTTTATGCATTGATACATATCATTCCTTGCTCCTAGAAGTCAAAAACAACTCAGTATGAGTCCACACATAAGGGTTTGTATCGACTCATTTCTATTTTGTATGGACACATGCGTATTTTGTATCGACTCATACTCATTTCTTGCCCTTGGAAGTAAAAAATAACTCAGTATGAGTCAACACATAATGGTTTGTATTGACTCATTTTTGTTTTGTATCGACACATGTACGTTTTGTATCGACTCATAACCTGTTTCATACATAATATGTGTCGACTCATAGTGATATGCATCGACTCATACTACTATTTTTTACTTCTAACATTATTCTGCTACATGTAAAAGTCAGTTCTCAACACATGGTTAGTGAAAATGAAAAGCAAGCATATGGTTAGCTTCAAGGCAATGATATCTACATTTTGTCTTCACAAATGAATCACTAATGATGTTTGTATGAAGAGTTCAAAGTCAAGAAAACTTACCTTGAAACTGAAATTTGTGTTTTGATTTTGAGTTGGAGAAGTCAAGTTGCAGGTGGTTGTTTTTGAGTTTGGAAAATAGTGATGTTATAGAAGTTTTTCTTGTGTTTGAGCAACTTATATATATATATATATATATATATATATATATATATATATATATATATATATATATATATATATATATATATATATATATATGAAGTATGTGGGTGGTTTGTTTGGACAGAAATGCAAGGTTTGGGAGATTTGAAGATTTTGGTTTCTAAGCTCAAGAGTGGAGGTTTTGTGGACAATTATGGTTTTTTTAAGAGTATGAGGGGTTTTGAGAAACTTCTTAACACAACAAAAATTTCTTCCCTTTAGCTTGAAAATGGCCTCTCTATTTATAGAGGAGGTTTGAGAGAATGAGAGAGTTTGTTTTACGAACTGTCAAAATTCTTGTTTGGTTGAGATGAAACAACCAAGTTATGTGAAATTTGATGTTCCAATGCATAGTACAAAAGGGATATGAAGTGGCTATGAGTTTTTAGGCATGTTTCTTTGACATTGTGTGTGCAGAAAAAACAGTTGAGAGGCTCAAGGAGAGCTGACTTTGCATAAAGCATGCTTTTATGTGAATGGCAATGGTGCCGTTGTGCCATAAATGGAATGATGCAATGGACAATACTTGAATCACTTGGATAATCACTACGCCAAATAAGCTATTTAATAGCGCTTTTTTTTGTTTTTGATAGCGCTTAAAAGTGCTATTAACCGCGCCACTATTGTAAATATTTCTTATTTAATAGCACTTTAAAAGCGCTATTAAAGTACCAATTTATAATAGCGTTTTAATTAAAGTGCTATCAAAGTCAGTATTTTGCATGTTTTTTGTTTGTTTTTTTATAGCACTCTAAACAAAAGGCGCTAATATATAACATATGTTTGATAGCGCTTTCAAATAAAGTGCTAATAAATGGTACATATTTGGTACAATATTTTTAATAAGTACAGTACAATATCTTCTGTGCCATATCTTCTAAACCAATAAAATATAATTTTGTACAAAAAGTTTGTTTTGAAATGCATTTTATCTAGTAAAATATAATTAGATTAATCATAATATTGTACAAACACACAAACTGGAAATTGATTTGAAATGCAATCTATTTAGTAAAATATAATTAGATTAATCATAATATGTAAACTATTTAACGTTGCATTTTATTTTGTAGAAAACATATGATAATTTATAATTAAACTAACATTATCCAAGACAACTGGGTAATCAAGTTTATTCATACCCAGTAAACTAATCAATCTTGAACCTCAAATACTACTGTTCAAGGAACAAAAAACCACAGCTTGATACACAGACATAAATTCAAATTTTACAGTTTCAATTAAAACAATAAAACAAGGATTAGCACAATCTGCAAATCTTGCAAACCAAGTTATTAAATTAGAGAATATTGAATACTAATTTGTGAGGGGTATGGTGGAACTTGCACTTCAACAGTACCTTCAAGCATATGTATCACATTTCTCATGCTTGGTCTAAGAACTGGATCCTCTTGAACACACCAAATTGCAATCATTACCAATTTCTCCAACTTTTCTTTGTCATCCAATGCCTCATTGTCACCCTCAACCAATGCATCTACAACACCATCCTTGTAGCAATCATAAGCCCAGTCAGTTAATATTGCTTTCTCTTCATCTTTTTGTTCCATTTCTTGAACACATCTTCTACATGAAATAATCTCAAGTAGCACTACTCCATAACTATACACATCCACTTGAGCTGTGATAGGCATGTTCTTAAACCATTCAAGTGCAACATACCCTTTTGTTCCCCTAATGCCAGTGTTGGTTTTTCTTTGATTCATGTTCATCAACTTGGCTAGTCCAAAGTCAGAAATTCTTGCATTGAAGTAATCATCAAGAAGTATATTTTGAGGCTTTATGTCACAGTGGATGATCCTAGTAATGCACTCTTCATGTAAATACACAAGTCCCCTTGCTATTCCTATTGCAAGTTCAAGCCTTAGTTTCCAACTTGGTTTCTGTTTCTCATCAGCATTGAAAAGTAAACTTGCCAAAGTGCCATTGCTCATGTACTCATAAACAAGCAATCTTTCACTTCCACCCTCACAAAATCCAAGTAAACGAACTAAGTTCTTATGATGAGTGAGACCAATGACATTCAGTTCATTCCTGAATTCTCTATGAGCTTGATCCAACAAAAAATTGTTCAACTTTTTCACAGCCACACGAGTTTCGGAACATGTGTTGTTGTTGACGACTCCTTCATAAACTATACCAAAAGCTCCCCTTCCTAGCTCTTTGTCAAATCCATTAGTAGCTTCTTCAAGCTCTTCGTAAGTGAAGCAACGCAAATTGGTTTCAACACTAGTTTCACTTCTGCTAACTCTTCTAAGCTTCTTCTTGTACTGAACAATCATGGAGGTGCTGAAACATATTGCTACAAGCAATACAGCATTGAGAATAGCAGATCTACCAAAAAGCACAGAAACAACCAAAACCAACGTTTCCCTATTATTATTCTTGTTCGCAATGATTGGAAATGGAGGAAAATCAAAGGACTGGAGGGAGGTATTATCTTTTCTCACTTTCAAGAAAGCCTTAGCACCATTAAGTGTTGGATCAACTTTCCCATTTGAGAGTGGTAACTTCTTCATCCAACAACTATCACCTAACCTGAAAATAGCCACAGAACACATGCAATCTCCCATACAAGCTTCTTTACACAGTTCTTCAGTAAAAGGCCTTTGAAGCACATAATCTGAGAAAGGCCAATCAGTGTTAATCAAAACCTCAAAGTCATAGAGATCCTTTCTTTTACTCAGTTCATCTTCTTCACATCCTTGTATAAAATCTGGCTTGCAGCTACCATATGGATCATCAGGATTAACTAGAGAGTAGAATTGAAAAAATAAAAACTATAAACTACTTTTTGAATTAAAGTGTTTTCTAGAATAAAAACAAAACAAAAAATAGCTTCTAGTTTACGTAAAACTATCTAAAGAAAATAGATATAATGATTCTGTACAACTTTAAAATCATTTTTTTAAGCTTAACTAAATGATACTGAGTATAGCTATGCACCTTCCTAGTGGAGGTAAGCCACCAGCAACAGATGATGAAGAATGCCTTCGCGTGTTCCGTGATTCTGAGTTTGACAAAGGCTCAGTTTCTGAAGTAGTAAACCTCCTACCACTAGCCCTTGCTTGGGATAAGTTCTATCAAATCATAATCACCATGGAATCAATCAACAGTCAGCACACATTTGCAAATATTCTAATAATGGTGGTTTCAAATAATTTATTTAATTTTATTGCTCAGGTCAAATGACAAAATCCCAAATGTACTATAATCAATATAAAGTAGCAACTCATGTACCCTTCTAAGCAAACAACGGATTTCTTATTTGTCTTTTGATATGTTTTGTAGTCACATGGGTGGGGTAAGTAAACACAGTCAAGGATCCCTGAATCACCAGAAATTCAGGCTGTAGCGGATGGGCCATTCAATCAAGGCACCCATTATTTCATGTCATCAAAACTTTAAAATTTCAAGATCATTTGCACATTTAAAAAAAAAAGATATAACCTAGTCTGGTTCTTTATATCGCTGCCTCCTCGATAATAGTTAATAATTTCCCTTCCTAAATCTCAAAATATTAAGTTTGAAAAGTCCCAAATTACAAAATCTTGCCTCTAGGATGCTAAAACTCGCTATTAACCCAACCTAACCTAAAGACCCTACAACATTTTGACATAACCCCGATTGTAATAGGAGACCAATTCACAACCTAAAATTCACAAACTTGAGTTGTCACATACATGCAACATAAGACAAAGGTGCAAGGAGACCAATTCACAAGCTATGAAATTAAACATGGCAAGCAATTTCTAGCTTGATCAGAAGAGCCTTAGAATGTCATCAAAACATTTCCATTAGATTCAACCAAACAAAACTATAAAAAAAAAACTGCAGCATATGCATTCCTTGATTCCATTACTAAAGGACCAAAACCCATCTTAATCACAGTGCAGAACAACCAAGAAAGCCCGCATATAAAACAGCACAGTAATAAAGAATTAAAGAACGACATGACATGACGAGTGCAATGAAATAAAAAACCTCAAATTTCAAGAATCCTTCAAGCACATCCAAGAGCACGGGACTGTCTCCATTTCTATTAAGATCATATCCATTTTTGCTACTAAACTCTTTCAACTCAGACTTCCAAAAATCTTTCTCCTGCAAAAAAAAAAGTGTGCCAAGTCAAAAGCAACATAATAACAGAAATAAACAAAAAGCAACAAGATAATAATAAATACAAGGAAAAAACAGAAAATCGATTAATTACCAAATTACATTCTGGAAGATAAACTTTTAGCGAGTGAGTAAGCTGTGCCCAGTCAAGGTATTCACATACCAGTGCAGTAAGAAGTCTACCTGCATAGTGAATACCAAAAAAGAAACATTTCAAAATGGAGCATCTCCAAACATAAATACACATAAGTCATATTAGGCAGAATAGAATAGGCGAATGAAAATGCACAAGTCGGATCGGATACAACAAAGGTGTGAGAATATATAGTAGCAAATAACTGAATTAAAGTAATTCAAACTCAAAATTACATTCTAATTAGGTAAAAAAAACATAATTATAGAGCATATAAACAGAAAATGAGTATGAAAAAGGTGAATTACCAGAAGGAGAAGCGTGAAGCTGTTTAGCACGATCGTTACCGCTACCTAACAATGCAGGAGGCAGAGCTTGATCCTTTTCGATGACACGATCTTCTTCTTCGATAGCTTCAAAGACACTAGCTCTTAATTCAGCCTGAAACATGAAGAAGAGTTGAAAATTATGGATCTGAATAAGAAAACCCTAAAAATGAAGAAAAGGGAGAAGAACAATGAAATACTCGGATCCTAGCGAGAACGCCTTTCTTCTCAAGAGTGCGAGTCACGAGGGTTTTGAGGTCCATCATCTCTCTCGTGTAATCGTCCATTCTTTTCGATTTTCACTTTCCAAACTTCTTCTTCTTTTTCTCTTCTCTTCTGTGCGCCAAATCCCCAATTTATACCAATAATACCAATGTTTTTTTTATCAATTAATTAATTAATTCATTATTATATATAACATAGCGCTTTTTAATAAATGCTATTATATAGGTAGTCAAATAATAGCGTTTTATACAAAATGCTATCTTAAAGAAGTTTAATAATAGCGTTTTGGTACAAAGTGCTATCAAAATTACATAGTCTGTATTATATAATAGCGCCCGATTAAAAAGTGCTATTATAAATGTGTTTTTTCCATTTTAATAGCATTTTTTTTAAAAGTGCTATTAAATTAGGTGATACAAAAAATCATTTTTGGCGTAGTGAATGTTTCAATCAATTGTATAAACATCTGATTAGGGATAGATTTGTAAGTCACAAGGCCTGCAAAGTAAGATTATACAGCACGTCATGCAAATTGGATTTTTTGTTCAACAAAATGACTTGCAATTCAAGAATGGATGCCCAACTTCATGCCCTTGAATCTCCTAGCTCAAGTATGATAAATTCATGCCCTTGGATGTTTTGGAAAGATTGAAACATCCTCTATATATTTCATTTTGACTATTTTGGATAAATCAAATTGGAACTTGATGAAAATTGCCAAGAAGTTGAGATAAAAATCGACGAAAATCTGTTGAAAATTTCACTAAGTGTTTATACAAAAATGTCATGACTTCATGGGCTCATATCTTCAAATCTAAGAATTTTTTGGACATCAACCCTCTAAAACAAAGTTGTATAATTCATCAAGGTCTACAACTTTCATGTTAAAATTTTCCTTTAAATCATTTTGCATCATGGTGAAAAATTGGTATGAAGTTATGAAATAAACATATATAAAAGACTTAGAAAAAGTTCTAAGTCTTGAAAAGTTTGACTTTTCAAATTGACTTTTGACTTTCTTGACTTCTTGATGGTCAGGCTTGATATTCTTGAATGTCTTGATGAATTTTGATCTTTGAAACTTAATGTTGACCAAAAAGTCAAAGTTTGACTTTTCAATGTACAATTGACTTTTCCATCAGTTGACCAAATTTCATCTATCAATCCACTGATCTTAAGAAATGTTTTGAGCCATGAAATTAGGTCAACATGTTGTATTTAAATCCTTGATATTGTACTTTAAGCCATTAGATCATGTATTAGGTCAAAAAGTCAATGATCAGTCGTTCTTAATCAAAACCCTAATTTGTGGTCTCAATGTTTCGGAGGTGGTTTTGTCTGATCAAATATTGAGAATCCTTGAGCATTGAGATCCTTTCCCCTGTTCAATCTTCTTAAACCTGAAGAGTTAGATTGGAGGGTCCTCCATTCGTGACTTGAAGGTGGAAGATGATTGAACACTAGAGTGCCCAGAAATTTGCACTCGACTATGTGTTAGTTGATTGTGTCGGGAATGGGCTTAAAGATGCCATTTGAAGAAGTGATAAAGAGTTTGTCAGAGATGGACTTATAGATGCTATCCAAAGTTGATTGTTGATAGAAATTAGACTAAGTCTAAACTTAACTGTAAGTGGGAGAAGTATCAGAATAAATCTTTGGCCGATTTAATATGAGTTGAAAGATGTAGTGGAATGAGTATCAAAATAACATACATAGCTAGATCATATTTGACTCATATATGAAAGATGTACTGAATGAGTGTCAGAATGACATCCGTATCTGGATCATATCTGAACTGTATTTGAGAAATGTATTGAATGAGTGTCAAAATGACATCCGTATCTGGATCATATCTGAACTGTATTTAAAAGATGTGTTGAATGAGTGTCATAATGATATTCGCATCTGGATCGTATCTGAACTGTATTTGAAAGATGTATTGAATGAGTGTCAGAATGACATTTGTATCTGGATCGTATCTGGACTGTATTTAAAAGAATCTGGAATAAGTATTAGAATGTCATCTGTATCTGGATCGTATCTGAATCATTTATAGGGAGAATATGGAATAAGTATCTGAATGTCATCCGTATCTTGATCGTATCTGAACAGTTTCTAGAAGAGAATCTGCAATAAGTATCAGAATGTCATCCGTCTCTGGATCGTATCTGAACCATTTCTAGAAGAGAATCTGGAATAAGTATCAGAATGTCATCTATATCTGGATCGTATCTGAACCATTTCTAGAAGAGAATCTGGAATAAGTATCAAAATGTCATCCGTCTTTGGATCATATCTAAACCGTATCTAGAAGAAGAGCTGGAATAAGCATCAGAATGGCATCCATCTTTGGATCGTATTGGAACTGTTTCTAGAAGAGAATCTGGAATAAGTATCAGAATGTCATCCGTATCTGGATCGTATCTGAATCGTTTCTAGAGTGAATCTGGAATAAGTGTCAGAATGACATTCGTATCTGGATCGTATCTCAATTGTATCGAGGAGAAACTATGGAATAAGTATCAGAATATCATCCGTCTCTGGATTGTATATGATTCGTTTCTAGAAGAGAATCTTTGGCTGATTGTATTTGACAGATGATAGGCTGTTGACGAGATCTACCTGTTCGGGAACTGACCTAAAAAGATAAATTTAATTCAAGGGCATGATGCATCTAATGTATTGCGTAATGATGATCTCAGAATAAATTAGAATGCTATATGTGTTTTGTATGCGTATTATGATATTTTGTAAATGATATATTGTGAAATGTTGTTTGAAGTGCATTGATAAACCCGTGCAATATCTTGGTCTGGGAAAATAAATCCCTTACTGTTGTCGGGGATGAAAAGTACGTGTATCTTTAAATTTTTCTAGAATGCTTCTGCTGGGGATTCCTGCTTATTTGTTTGAAGAAACTCCGCTGGGGATGTACTGATTTCTGTTTGGGGAGAAGAGTTTAGGAACCTTGGTGGTCCGTTGCTCTACTGGGGAATTTAATTCTTATTTACCCTAATTGGGGATAAAAGAGATGGTTAAACTTTCGACTTGTCTGGGGGAGGATGAAGTTAATTGTTATCTGGTTGGATTCCAGGATTAGCAACAAATTTCTGGGGAGAATGAAGTTAAATTGTTATTTGGTCAGATTCCAAGCTTCACAACAACTTATTGGTAGGATGAAGTTAAATGTTATCTGGTCAGATTCTAGGCTTCGCAGCAACTTACTGAGGATAATGAAGTTAACTGTTATTTGGTCGGATTCCAGGTTTTGCAATAACTTTCTGAGGAGGATGAAGTTAAATTGTCATGTGGTCAGATTCCAGGCTTTATAGCAACTTACTGGGGATAACATCAACTCGACTGGGGACAAAGGGAGTTCTATCGGTGATATGTAGTAGTCCGAGGAAAAGACTCAAGCTGGGGAGATTGTAATCTGTTGGGGAAATAAACCCTGTTGAGGAAAGTATTCTGATGATCTTATTGGGGAAATGAATTCTTCTGGGAAAGAATTGTTTACAAGGTTTCTTTTTCTGTTTTGAAAGACCAAACTCGGCTGGGGAATGTCAGAATAAATCTAAGTCTTGATTGCATCTGAGGATGTATTGAATGAGTATTAGCATGACATCCATATCTGGATCCTGTCTGAATTGTATCTGTAGGAGAGTCTGGAATGAATGTCAGAATAAATTTGTATTTAGATTGTATCTGCATTATATCTGAAAGATGATAAACTGCCGGAAATTTCCATCCATTTGGGAACTGGTATGATGTGTGCGTTTGTTAGGAGAAGATCAAACTCCTCTATCCGTTGGTGAGTTTGACTATGTTATCGGCTGGAATATTCCCCACTTTTGTTTGAAGATGCTTCTGCGCTTTTCGGGGATAACCTTGTGGAAGATTGTACCCTAATCCGTGAAGATTATTCTGTGGGGATAACCTTATAGAGGTGGCTCTGGAGACTTCACTTGGGATCACCTTATGAAAGGGACTTTGTGGGGATTTTCCACTGTCCATAGTAGTAAGTGTCGTAGTACTACCATAAAATGTTTGCTTGGTCGTACGTGACTGTGATACGGTGGGAGAACTGACTTGAATGTTTTGCGTTTGATCGCAAATGTTGCGGTTTAGCAAGAGTCGCCACCGAGTTTCTTTTATCCAAAAGGAAAGGTAAAAAAGCACAGGAAAGACCTTTGAGATTATTTCTTAAGTTCGGGGAGTAGATTATGAAAAGGGAAGGTATTAGCACCCTTTTCATCCATGGTTTTCCATGGGCTCTTAGTTACTTGCTAGATCACTTGCTTTTGTTTGAAATTGTGCTTTGTGTGGTTTTTGAAAGTATTTTGTAAAGAGGCCATCATTTAAGAAATCTTTGTAATGATTATCGTTCATAAGAATGTATACAAAGATGTTTTATCTTTTGAAAATGTTTTCAAGTTTGTAAGAGGTTTTGAAAGTGTAGGTGTTTGTTTTGAAAATAGCAAGGATGTTTTGAAATTGAGCAAGTAATTAGGAGTCTTCTACCTACTCAAACGTCTTTCTTGTTCATTTTATTTTCCTTTGACATTGTTATCTTACCATTGATTTGGTAAGTAACCCTATCTTTGGATGTAAACGGGACGGGCGTGGGTCATCGTATAACCATAATTAGCAATGTTGCAAGATATCTTAGCATTCTCTTTAGGGACTAAGATCATTTGAAAGACAACTTAGATAGCATCATCGAGGGACTATGATCTTATATTTTGTTTGTTTTTGCTAAGATACCTCACATGCGTAATATGGCCATTTTGTAAAGGCAACCAAGTGGATTTACCCTAGGGGGGTGCTTGTGTGCAAGTGTATCGTTTTCATGCTTGATTTTGTCTTTGATTAGGGTTTTTCTAAGTATTAGTTTTAGTCTTTCCATACAAACCCTAATTACTAGCATTTGTATATAAAGCAATAAATTACAGAATTTAAAATTACTACGCTATTACAATACTTGTGGGTGGGGGTGTACAAATTTCAAATGGGGATTTGCAAGAAAATAAACCTAATTATCTATTACAACCATATTGAATTT